ATTCTAATCCACAAAGGATTAGAGGACTTCTCTGCGTGTGGGGGACGCACGTATGACTATAAATTTACATTTATCAGTATTCATACGTACAGAGAAATAGCCCAGGCAGTGGGACAGCCCATGCAACGAAAAAGAGACCATACACAAAAGTGTGTAATTATTTGAATACCTAATGTCGACATTGACCTTGCTAAATGGTTATGGAGATTTTGTTTCTTCAAAATCAAACTTGACGTTTATCGGTTTTTTAATACCGCATGAAGGTAATCACTTTCACACACAATTCATTTTTTGGCCGACTTAAAAAAAGGAGGTTCTCAATTCCTCGGTATGTTTTTTTTGTATGTATGTTACGCGATAACTCCGCCGCTTGTGAACCAATTATGATGATTCTTTTTTTGTTGAAAAGAAGGTACCTTAGATGTGGTCCCATTTAAATTTCAAGAAAATATTCCACCTCTAAGGGTGGCAAACTAGGGGATGAATGACTTTTGAGGTTGGTTTTTTTAACTGGAGGTTAGGTTATTAATACTATTACTTTTTTAATTTTGTAGAGGTCTACTATCTGTATGTTCGTTTCATAGTTTGTCAAAAGGCGAATATTCGTTTTATTTTTCTTATACCAAGCAACGGGACGAACAAGTCGTGCGTCTCGTGGTAAGCGACACGCCTATCCATAATAGACGCAGTGTCACTCAGAGCTTTTAATCACAAAGATCACGACATGCTGGTGAATTACAAGCACAAGTCCCATGTGCCTGTAATTTCACCAGCACCCTTACCCTTCGAAACCGGAACGCTGTAATGCTCGCATTACTCCTTGGCGGCTTAGATAGGTAAGGTGGCAGTACTTCCCTGGACGAACTCTTTCACGAGGAGCTCTACTGAATTGGATCTAATAGACTTGTAGGTGTTTCCCACAAACAAAAAAACGAATTTTCCAAAAAAAAAAAAATAGCGTGTTCTACAAAATAACGACGGTATGTCTCGTTGCCAGAGCAATTGCTTATCCATGCGCACAAGGTGACAAATCGATATATATATTTGATATCTGTAAGGCAATCAAAATAACCTGAAAACTAACCAATATTATTCACACTTCTACATTGGTCAATTTTATCAACATGATTTAATAGAATATGCGTAGAACATATTCGATAGAAATCAATATTACGTCAATTGCTCAAGAATGACTTTAACGTGTACTTCTATTCAATTCAATTGTTTTCAGTTTCAATCGACAATGTACGACACGATAAGTGCACTAAAATTTATTCACTTGGTTTTGTATTATATATTTTAAGCACTTTAAATTTATATAAAAGTTTAAATGTGTAGATAAAATCCACCATTTTTAATGTGCAGCTTTTTTACATTAGTATGCCCGTTTTAGTATACACTACAATGCCTTAATATGGGTTTATTTTTGTCACACGTGCAGATACTTTAAAAGCTCTACACGTATGTATATGTCGCAGCCGTATTGTATAAGCACCGTATTACATTACGGCTAGCCGCTTTGCAAAATGGCGCTGTTTTCTAATACGGCTACCTGGTGTTCAGCTTGATGGCAATTCGCCTAAAAAAAAACACGCCGCATTGTAAAAGCGCATGGCTTTTCACAAAGCTGCTAAGAAATGTGCCGCCGGAATACAATAGGGTGCGTTATTGTTACGCTGCTTCGAGATACTTAGATCCAAATATAGCCGCCAGTAGAGCTACATTATCATAACAACAAAAATTCCATCCCAAACAGCAACTGACTCAACAAAGTGCAAACATTATTACTTTTAGGAGTGGAAAAAGTAAAATGCGTGAAAATAGTAAACAATGGTAAACAAAAGTAACGCAAACAAGTTCGTTTCAGGGGGCCTACTCTCGATCTCCGTCTGACATCCATCCGAAACAATTACTGTGAAATAAGTAATATTCGACAAAATTAAAAGACAAGTATCCAGTATGAAGCTTCATTCGCATCACGCGTCTTTTTAATTTGGTCAAGTATTGCTTATTTGGCAGTAATTGTTTCGTACGGATATCGGACGGAGATCGAGAGTAGTCCCCCTGGCCTGATTTTTCATATACTATGTATGTACGCAACCAAGATTTGACTTGTGTAATTCATAATCGGTGACATTTTCCCTATGAACAATACGGCTAAACGTTGGCAGCCGCTTCGTAGAATGTATCGTCACAGTCTAGCTGAACATAAAGTAGCCGTACTAGAAAACAGCGCCGTTTTGCAAATCGGCTAACCATAAAATAATACGGCGCTTTTTACAATACGGCGACATATGGACCAAATTGACGACTTTGATGTATAAGTATTTATTTTTCTGTGATCATTTTGAATTTGACTGTAGTTAGCTACTGCGTATTACTATGCATCAGCTTTTTAGTGTTTAGAAGTACTATTTTACGCTACGTGAGATTTTTTCATGTGTAACTATCTACATTATTTACTGATGACCGTTGTACGGGGTATTGAAAAATCATTTTATGACTTGACTCCACCTATGATGCTGAGCTACTTTCTGCAAGAAATTCTTATCCACTTCGCGAAAACAAGTCACACCAAATGAGCGAAATTTCGATCAGCTGATTCTCTTGTTACGAGAAGAAGAAAAGTCCCGCATTGGACATTGAACTTGGGCTCAACGTTGAATATTTGCTATCCTCCAGACCGCATTCAAACACTCAAAAGTTAATTTTCTGAGTCTACATAAACCGTACAATTATTTTTAACTGCCACCTAGAGTTTAGTTAGGAAAAATGACCCTCAGGCCTCTCGAGGCCTAACCTTAGTAATTAAGAAGTAAAAAATCAGTGTTCACCGAATAAAAGAAGTAAAAAATCTGTGTTCACCGTGTGTCTATCGGATACTTCTTAAATGAGCTACCTTTTTTTTATACAAAAATAAACGCGCATCTATCTCACCTGATGGAAAGTGACGATGAGGTCGACGATGTAGCATGCACACCTAAATAATGCCTATTCATTCTTGCCTCGAAAAAGTCCAAATTATAGCGTTCGGGGAACAACTCCGCAGACAGGGAACTCCACTCCCTAGCTGCTCGCCCTATAAATGTGGAAGCGAAATGTTTCGTGCGAATCCTAAGAATATCCTCAACATAGGGGTGGAACCCCAACCCACGTCTAGTTCCCCGATAATCGAAAGTAATAGGCGGAATCAGATCATGCAATACCATCGCACACTCTCCGTGATATATCCAGTAGAATACCGATAAGCAGGCAGCTTTGCCTCTACTAAATCCGAGTCACCTATAAGCCTCTTGGCACGCTTGTCAATTGGATCCAAGATGGCTAGTTGGTATTCAGCAGAGCCATCCCACAAGTGACAGCTGTTCTCCATATACGACCGAACTTGTGCTTGGTACACCTGAAGCAAATGTCCCGGTGTAAAGTAACTCCTCACCTTGAAAGGATGCCAAGCTTCCTGGCTTGGCTTCAATGTAACTGCCGAAGTTCAGATTGGACAACAGGTCCATTCCAAGTAGCTGGAGACGGTCGGGTATCGGGTTGGAAAATCAGGAGTCAGATCAAAGGGACTCCGTTTTATGGATAATACACACGCCTGCGGTTTGGTAGAACGCTACCTATAATATAACGATATTTGACAAGATTAGCATCGCCGCAATCTTAGACTGCCTTAACTGTCAAATTAAAACTACTAACCATGGCCTCGACAAAACTGGATTTCTTCTCCACTGATTCTTGCATTGGTCAAGTACCTGTCCACAACTGTGCTGTCATCAGCACCCAAAGGCACCTGGAATTAACATATTGCTATGCAACAGAAAGAGATTTGCGGACAGTACGGAACCCTGAGAAACTATCTATACGGCATCTTTCGCCCGATGTTCGAAAGAGTAGCCTTCTAAGACTGCATACGACAATTAAATGTACAACAGTACAAAATATTGTATGTATTATAATACGTAATTATTACAAAAGTAACTATTAATCATAGTCTTCTAACTGGTAGATTGCCAATACCGAGTTCATTAAGACAGTTATTTTCAGTTCAGTAGGTAATGTTAACTCGTTCATTGCTTTGATCCTCATACATTTTAATTCGCAAACGTAATTAACTGTTACTTTCGTTGTATAGTAAAAAACGTGAGAAATTTACGATTACGGTCGTTGGTAATTGACGTTTTAATTTTGTAAGGCATTTTACGGTGCGCGATTAGCGCTATAACGCGTATTAGTCGCTATTCACGGGTGTAGCCGATTTTGTGATTGTAAAATAATTATTTTGGTAGTTTGTTTAACCAGACAAGCAATAAATTCTTGACTAATTTAGTTGGCAGCATTTTATATTTTTCATGTAGTAATTAATTGATGTAGCGGATAAAGAAAAATTGTTGTTTCGATGGTTGTATTGGGTTTTGGGTATTTAGATGTAGCTTTGTAGCGATATTGACATGGCTCTACATGGCTGTTATATTTTAATATAGCGCTATAATTACAGCGATTTAGCGCTAGTTAGCTATACAGCTCTTACACTGCGCAAGACCTTACTTTATACAATTCAAAAACTGTTCTCAACGAAGGTGTAATGATGAAGTGCCTTTTATATTCATTGTTAACTTTACACCCTGTTGTTATCGAGCAGAAGACACTGAACAGTACCTTTATGCTTCTTCTTGAAATAGAATAATTAACATACTATCAAGCTTATTCCATTTCATTACAGACAAAGACTGCTAAACTAAAGCTTATTTAATTGTATCTATAGTAAAGGTTAAAGTTTCTGTGAAAAGGGATAGCTTTACCGCCATCCCTCTTTGTCAGAGTATTAAAATATCTGTCCCCTCTTAAAAATGTGTCCAGTCGTCAATTTTGTTGATAGAAGCGGATAAGCTTATACTTTCGCACTACATACCGTCCCAATCATAGCGATGCTACAACTATCTCGTCACAGAAAACCCGGCAGAGGGATGTACAGTTTTTAAGAATGAATGTTGGTTTTGCAGCTCGCCCGGCTCGGGTACTACAAACTGGCGGCGGCGGTGCAGGCAGACACAGAGCAGCGCGCGCGCAACGGTCTTCATCATCCACACCCGAAGGAGATCAAGTAAACAGGCTTCTTTAAATACTTCAGTAGCTATATTGATTTCAGTAGCTATATTAGCCTAAACTGGCTAAACAAGCTAAACTGTGCATGCTTGGCTTGGCCGTTTTCATTTTACACACCGTGACCTCCCCTAACATGAATTACAAAATGGTATCCTTCTTGTAGCTTAGAATACATAAACAGAAAGGTAATGTAACACTGATAACACTTAGGTCTTAAAATTTTCATTTGTTTTTTTTTTTGTTATACAAGTTAAATCCAGATGTACCACATTAATGTGGTAAAACCATTGTAAAACTTAATTTGATTTTCCGTATCGGTTAAATATTGCAGCGTCCTAAAACCTTCTTTATTCAAATTTTTTTACAAACGAACTTAATCAAGTTCTTATAAAAACACCGATACCCTTTTCTAAGACGGGACTAAAAATATGGTTGAAATATAAAATCATTATAATAGTATCCCTTTTATTTCCTTCACCCTTCATTAGTAAGGGAGAAGCATTATGGTGGATCACACCTAAAGATCTACAACATTGTTTATTTTAAATTGTACGTAATAAATAACGTTGAAAATACTTTAAAAGTATGACCGTTTGTATACTGAAAAAAAGGTTGGAAATAAACATTTTGTTTAAGCAGTTAATGTAACTTATTTCCATTTGAGCCTATAAACCACGATTATTGCAGCAACAAGCACAATTTTTAGTAACTAATTTAATCATAATATTGTGATTGATTCAATTAAGAATCCCAAATTCAATTACGAATAAATCTACTTGATTAGGTTGTGTTATTCTCAGTGTATAGTTTAACCGGGTTGGTTGTGTACCTACTATATGTATAGTAAATAAACATTAGAAACCTGTGATCATCTCGTGGTGATTATTTTCTTCTGGATAACCTCACAGATATACAGAAAAAGCATCAAAATAGATACAGTCAGCATCATGAAGGTCGGAGGTCGCTCGGTGAATACTGAGACAGTCCCCCACACACAATTTAAAAAATATATCGACGTTGGAAAGGCAAAATGGGGTAAGCGAATTGAGTTATATATACCGTTATTGAGTTATATATATCAGCTAATGTTTCTGATTCCAACAGTATATATAACTCAATATGACCCAAAATTGTCGCTTATCCCATTTCGCCTTTGAAGCGTCGATATTAATTTGTAATTGTCTTCTTTTCTTTCAAATGGTGTAAATAAAATTAACTTTTTAGTTGGGTCATTGAACTCTTTTCTGTAGTACTGCTATTCTGTACTACCAATAAAACTGTAGTGTTATTCAACAATAGGGGAGTTGATGACGCGTAAAGTTCACCCCAAAGACCTTTTCATGCCTAATTAAGCATCAGTTTCCGACGTACTGCGAGTACGCTACGAAAATAACCTTCACGGTACAAGGTATTAACCAAATTAAGACGAATAACGATCGGTACTTTGAATCTGAAAGTACTTCATAGAAATAATTATTTTGAATAAACAGAACTGTATGTAGCCATACATTGCACGTCTTATGCTGTACAATATTCAGCTGTACGACTCTGGCTTAACAATAACCTGGATCTTCGGGTAACGGTGTAACTTAACATCAAAAAACGGGTTCTTCAAAGAAATAGCTTTAAAGAAATACTCATTGTAGTATTCTAATTTCATATCACTCGCTACGTGAACTCCGGCATGGAAATTTTCTCACGATGTTTAATGATTACTTCCGCGCGATATAGCACTTTGTGTTAGCATTTGCGCGCGTTTTTTTTATTTTTCTTGAGGTACAGTGAATTTTTTGAGTTACATACTATTACACAACGTTAATTATAAAAGTAGGAGAGCAAGCTACAACAATGAAATTTTTCAGTAGTAGCAGAGCTCCTTGTCAAAAAGTTCAGGGATGTACTGCCACCGTACCTATTTCTGCCGCCAAGCAGTAATGTGAGCATTACTGTGTTCAGGTTTTGAAGGGTAAGGGTGCTGGTGAAATTATAAGCACATGGGACTTGTCAACTTATGTCTCTGGCTTATTTTTTGCGATTTAATGCTCTGAATGGCACTGCAACTGTCATGGATAGGCGTGTTGCTTACCACTAGGCGCATGGCTTGTACGTTCCGTCGAATGATATCATAAAATTAAAAAAAAAAAAGATTTAAAATAAAAATGAATCTTCATGCGTGAACAGCCACCTTTCGAGGTGGATGATTTTCTTCAAAATGAAATGGGACCACTATGGAAGTACCCCCTTTCCAACAATAAAGAATCATGAAAATCGGTTCACAAATACCGGAGTTATCGCGTAACATACATAAAAAAAAACATACAGTCGAAATGAGAACCTCCTCCTTTTTGAAGTCGGTTAAAAAGAGAGAATGAATAACATGTACAATGTAATATGTATTAAGAAGATAAATGTAATGATATATTTAAAAAAAATATATATGATGTATGATATATTTTAAATTATGAATAGCGACTTTTAGTCTACAACGGCCTTCTCTGACGTGGAGGTATTCTCACAATGTTTGATGATTACTACCACGCGATATGGCACGCGTAAACATTGTATTGTAAGTATTAGTTTATGTTCCATAATTTGATGTTCAATCGGGGAATACGGTGGATGTGTGGACGAATCTTTTAATTAATTCATTTTTTTTCTTGTTTCATACTTTTTTGAAATCTCTAGAATATGTATTATTATGTAGAAAACTTACCACTGGAATTGGACGCTTTTATGACGAAACATACGACTGTGTTATTTTGTAGTTACAAAATTGAGCAAGAAACTATTAGCAACATTTAGCTATTTTTCATAATTTGATATTCAATCGGGGAATATGGTAGACGTGTGAATGAATCTTTTTGATTTGATTTAATATTGTTTCTAATTTTATGGTTTTTCAGAATCTATACAATATGTTTTATTATGTAGAAAACTTACCACTAAAGTTGAACGCTTTTGTAACGAAAGTTGCGCCTGCGTAATTTTGTGATTACAAAATTGAGCAAGAAACTGTCAGAGCAAAATCCTAGATATTACTTTCAAGTCAGGTTTACAAAGTTTCGTAGAGTTTGATTAGTAGAGCTGAAGTAAGAGTTTAACTATGTTTATGTGGAGTACGGCTGGTAAACTTCTCTTGAAGCGAGTGAAAATAAATAAAATGCTGTAATTTTTACGCTTCAATAGGCACGTTGCTAGAATATCCTCGATTCCAAAAGTATAATATTTCTACATTCAATTCCCGCATAAACCCAGCACAATAGCTGTTGTAACGTAAATAAAGAGATGTGGAACAATGTGAATATTTCATGTACAAATAGTTAAATAACTAGGTCATTGCCGGTTGAATAGTCTTTAATGGAAACATACGCTTCATATCGTTAATTATTATAATTAAGTAATGGCTGCACAGGTTATAAAAAAATTTAATATAAATATCACATCTGTTTACTCCGGCTGGGGTAGGTAGACTACAGCCTTCACTGGTCTTCACCTCACCGAGGTCATCACCTTTTCTAAATTAGTTCTTGTCTGGGCGAACACCCAGAATTCCCAAGTTTGAGACAAGGCAATTGGTGTGATTATCTGGCCCACTCTGCCGTCCACTAAGTAAAACGCGGCCAATTGACAAATGGTCAAATATTCGTTTTAAATAGCATAACAAAATTCTTCTCAATTCTTCAAAATTCTATTTAAAAACAGTGTTCGACATATCGGAACATATCCCTAACGATGCATACCTGAAATATCATTTAACAATTGAAGCATTGGGTGTATCTCATAAAAGTGAGAGTGAGTCACGATAAAGTATTAATCTTTTATATCTTTTTAATATTTATGATATGACCCTTATATACTTTATTATTTATTTGTCCTATGATTTAGCTAAAATATTCAGGTGTTATTATTTTAAAACAATTAGAAACATTTGAAAATATTTTTCTTCCTTGTGTTATCCGCCCTTGTTGCACCAAACCGGTAAATAAATGGGGCGTCCATTTTACTATTGCTTTTTAAGGAAATAAATTGTGAATCAGTCTTATAATTTAAAAGTTACATTGAAAACAATTTAAACGTATTTTTAATCATTTATTAAATTCAGTTATACCTACTGCTACTCAGCTTCAAATCGCAAAGACCTGAGAGGCCCTGTCACATTACCAGGAGGCCCATGTGCCTGTATTTTAACTAGCAACCTGTCCCTTCAAAACCGAAATGTGCCCACGCATTTCTGCAATTTCTTACGACTTACTTAGAGTACTTTTCTGGACGAACTCTTTTATAAGGAGCTCTATTTCTAATAAATAATAAAAACATAATTACCAGCTTACTATACAAAGTTAGTTTCATATACAACTGAAAACAGTAGAGTACCAGCAATTTCTAAAATGCACAAGATTATTTCTTTTGAAAATATAATTTGTATTAAGACCTTAGCACTCGGGTGTTAGTCACGGCCTTGTAATGTCAATCACTGTGGATTACTCTATCTGTGTAAGACACTCCCGTGGGAGATGTCGCTTCGTAATGAGAGGCGAAATCTCATATAGAAATACATTTAGCCGTCTTTGCCAAGGGGCTACTCAGTACAACATAACGTACCCATACAACAATCAACTGCTAATTGAGTATTGTTGTGTTCTTAGAAACAGAAGGTCTATGTTATTGATGAGAATTCATTGGTGATAGAATTTCACTGGTGTTTTTTCGAAGTTACATATACCAAAATTATTTTAATTAACCATCTCGTGTCGTACTATTATCATTTCAGATAGGAATCAGGGTTGTTGCTAACGCAGGTTTTTTACAAATCGGCGGATACTAATGCGGATCCTAGTTTTATCTATTTTATACAAATCGGCGAAAACTGTACATCCTTACTGAATCTATGTACATGAAAAAGGTTTCGATTTTCTTTGGTATCATCATCAACTCATTTATACGTCCCACTGCTGGGCATGGATCGGTTTTTAGACGAGGATTTAGGCCATAGTCCGCCACGCTGGCCTAATGCGGGTTGGGGACTTCCCACGTTTTCCGAGGGTTGTGAACCTTCTTCGACGTGCAGGTTTCATCACGGATGTTTTCCTTCACCGAAAAGTTCATGATACATTTCAAATTAAGTTTCGCACATAAATTCCGAGAGACTCAGAGGTGCGAGAGGCAGTAGGTCAAACCATTAGGCTACCACGGCTTTTTTCTTTGGTAGGTATTGTAATAAAGTATTATTTCAATGATTCTGTGACATTTATTGACTAAATAATCAATTCAACATAATTCTAAATAATCAACAATCAATCTGTCCGAGAAAAAATACTTTAATTTCCAATGTGCAGCAAACGCAAATTCCTAAGAACTCTATAACTTTACTTTTAATTATATTAATAATAATAACATTTATTACATTTAAATGCACGTACAATAAAGGCAAACAAAACATTACATATGTGACGTATTTGTGAAATGTTATAATGATAAATAATTTATTGTCTCAGTTCAATATTAATTAACATTATTTTATTAATTTCAGGAGCAAAGGCGCTTCAATGGACACAGACAGTTTAGTCCTGTGGCGACGGCCGCTCACCACACTTGAGTACTTCTTTAGAGAATTGTTTATTCTCTGCTCTACAGGATTACAGAGGTAAATTTATTTCTAATTATTATGTAGTATGGATTTAAAAAAAAGAAAAGCGACATCTAAGCGCGGAAATATCGCTTCTGGCGCAAATCGCGCCTTCTCGTGTTAGCTCTGCTGTTACAACACAGGCTAGCTTTTTTTTGCGACCTACAGGTATTTCTTTTTGTAAAATGTAAAAAGATTCTTTTCGATTCAGTGATCCCCTATTATACGACTGCGACACTGAGGACAACCTCTAGGATATTCTCGCACTAAAAAAATCCTAAACCTCTCTTTTTAAATTCTTTCTTTTAAATACCAGTGACACTACACTGAAATTAAATTATAAAAGAATTAAACAACATTGTTGATTTATTTAATAACATTATTATTAACTAAATTATCAGTGGAATGGTCTAAAGGTTTATAGCGCTACTTTGAGTCACAATGTTGGTTTGGGTTTCTTTTTCTATATCTATTTTCCCAGCAGCGCTATTGTGGCTGTAGGGCTAGCACGACAGGACGCGACTTGCGCGAGAGCGACATAAACCGCGAGATGCTGCTTTTCTCGCATAGAAATCGCACTTTAAATTCGCAACTTTTCCGTATTGATTTTTTCCTTTGTTATTTCATTGTTAGGTGCCCTTTGTAATGCTCTAGACTTTTTCTTCCCACTGAGAATGTTGCTGAGGAAACTGTATTTTTTTCAGGTTACTGGCATATAGGCTACTAGCATTAACTATAGTTCTTCTAATAAGCGGTACTACGGTATCGTATTACCTCAGTGGGCCACACCAGCATTATGTTCATGTGAGTACAAGCTTTATGTCCTTGCAATAAAAGCGAAAGACGTTATGCGTTTCGTTTTTACGTAGATTCACCTTCTTCTGAATTACTATATGCTATTCTGTGTGAAGACTTCCTTATTGTTATAAGTCGTACAAAATGTATACAGGGTTATATATACAAAATTAACAACCTCACGGGACTATATTATACATATGCTATGTTTAGTGTGCTCATAAGTTTTGAGACGAAATAAAAGTTACATAGAATTTTAAAGAATTATTATATTTTTGAAATTTTCATATAATGATAACGTACATAATGATAAAGTACACACTAACCAACTTGACTTGAATTACTACTCAAAATGACCGCATCTATTCCTAATATAAGCTCTTAGATGTTTTGGCCAATCTAGAATAGCGACACGAAGCTTCTCCAGTGCGATTCGGTTCGCGTCTTTGATGAGGGCTTTAGAGAATCAAAGTTTGGTTGGGACGTTTGGCAGGCCCTGAGCTCCAATTCAGTCCACAGAGAATATTTCATTGGGTTAATATTAGAACAGGAGGGTGGACATTCTTCCGCCGCGATGAAGCTCAGCAATTTCTCCCTTAAACAAGCTTGAGTCGTTTTAGCCTTTTGAGCTTGCCTTGCTGGAAAATCCAGGTGCGTTAACTTAATTCACATGAATTAGTTCATCTAATTGCAATAAGTACACTTTTAGTAAACGTGAAATCAACTTGGTGCATTAAGTACACTTTTAGTAAACTTAAGTCACCTGGGTGCATTAGATAAACATAAAAGTAAACTGTATTAACTCCTTTATTTAATATGAAACCTTTTTGTCAGTGGGACTCTGGCTATTCTTTCTTGTGAAATAAAGTATTAGACAGGAGTTTGACTAGTTTCTAAAACGTAACTGATATGTTTTTTCTTTCACCTTAAGGCCTTGTTGGCAAAAATAAAGCGGAGTGACACCTTTACACTCGCCGGATGATGGATACGCGAAACATTTTGTGCTGAAGCTGGAACATCTTTGCTGCTTTTGGTATAAACTGTATTGTTTTATCAACTGAACTTTTCTTCGTCAGTGAAGAGTATCTTTTTCGCATCGTATCTCTTAAGCAGCATCGAGCAACGTTCGCTTTTTTTTTAGTTTGCAAAACGAATTTCTTCTGCGTGTTCTATGTAGTTAGATGTCGGTGAAGTCTTATTATTATTAATTTACGTATAATATACGAAATTGCGGCTTACTCATAACCATTTTATGTCACGTAAAATCTCTTTCTGTTTTATAACATATGTAGCGAAATTAAACGACAAATATCATAGAAATTATTTTAAAAACGTACAAATAGAACACGTACATTACAAATTGAAAAACTAATTAAACAGCTGCCAGTTATTTGCTTTATTTTTTAAAGTCAAAGTTTGTTTCAAAGCTTTTGAACACATTAGATACATATTATACATACAGATATACATAAGTACTTCCTAATTTAAATATAAGCTAAATGATATTAGACTATCTGTCATTATGAATTTCTACTTCAAACGACGTGGAAAATTACATTTAAAATTATGTACTATACATTCTTCTTAGTTAATTGTTAGATGTCACGCAATGCTATACGCTAATTGTACATTTACGTTATCTGTATGCTACACTTTCAATGAGAAATTAAATGTTAGTGCTTTCTTGTGAAATTAGATACTTTTAATTTAAAATATACAAAACAAAAAAAAACCGTTTTGAGATCAGTCCGTCCTTTTGGGAGAAAGAAAGAAAGAAAAAAGCTATTCCGTTAACAAATTACAGCACATTACCTACACATTATACAATTTAATATATGATGCAATACAATTGGACAACATTATTAATAAATAATTCGACTATTTATTCAAATTCAAAATAGTTTATTTCGGATTCTTCATCCATAATGGTTAGTATAACAAAGAAAAACTTACACAAAATTGTTAGTAATTACAGACTTATAAATATGTGCTGGGTTTAGGGTACACATGAAGTTTGGTCCAGTGTTCAAAAATGACCCCAGCAGTAATACTCACGATGCTGTCACCGCTGCCACGCACATTTCGCGTCAAGGATGCCGCTCTCTTTCTCATAATGGCAGCAAATCCGTCCACATGAGCATCAGCGAACATTCCTGACGCGCCACAGAACCGCTACAGCCACAACAATATCCGGAATGTATAGAGAATTTATCTAAAATAATAAATATTAAAAAAAATATTAAATTTGACCAACTTCTGTTGTCCCGATTTTTTCTTCCAGTACAACGAAATGATCCTTACATGAAACTGCGTCGATCGGCAGTAAAAACAAATTAATCACTTCTAATCATTTTTGTGGACAACTCACGTCTGACCAAAAAATTGACTTTGTCAAAATTGTTTTCACAACAATAGATCATCTCAGTACAGAGTACTAACAAAACGACCTCAAAAGTTCGTGGAATTACATCTATTTGCGAAGTATTATTGAAATCGGTTACCGAAAAGTGGCGAAACCGGATTCATCCCATAGTTTGCCACCCTTAGAGGTGGAATATATTCTTCAGAATTAATTGGGACCATTAGTGAGGTACCCTCTTTCCAACAATAAAGAACCCTCAAAATCGGTTTACAAATATTATCGATATCGCGTAACATACATAAAAAAACACAGTCGAATTTAGAACCTTGAATATGAAGTCGGTTAAAAATAGACTTTATAGTTTCGAAGACAGTTTCCCTGTATCTCCTACGGTTTCGGATTTGCCCATACTGTCCCGGTGGAAAAAACACACTGTATATTAACTTTTATTTGGAGTAAAGGTCGACTCTGTAGCAGGATCTCTCGAACTTGTAAAGTTGGCATATTTTTTTTATTATTTCTAGTTAGTAGTAGCAACACTCGCCTGGTGGGGCTGGTGGATAGTTCTCGGCGTGTGCAGCTCCGTAGGATTGGGCACAGGCCTGCACACGTTCCTACTCTATCTGGGCCCGCATATTGCGCGCGTAACTCTCGCCGCGTATGAGTGTGGAGCACTAAATTTTCCTCAACCGCCTTATCCTAATGAGTGAGTATTGGAACGTTAAAACACCGAACCGTCGGGGAAAGTGCAATTACGCGTAACTAGCATTTGATTATGAGTCTCCTTCGGTAATTAGTCGACAAATAAAAAAATGTCGTGTCAACAAATGTCATGGCAACCAAATTAGCGTGATTTACGGGGATCTATTGTTATCAGTCCGTAGACAACATAAATTAATACTTACTGTGCAAAAATTAAAGTCGTAGCCATTCAAATAACAAAGCAATAACGTTAAATCCCTCTCCTGTGAAATTTGGTTTGATGCAGATTGCACTGTTCCCGACGAAATATCGTTACGCTTTTTTGTCCATTATCAAACACATTGTGAAGTGTAAAATATAGCTATTTGTACTAATATTAAATTGTCATCATATGAAGTTTAGAATTTATTATCTAATACCTCATCAAATCAATCCACTCTGAGGAGCTTATAGTAAGATTACTTTTTCGCTATAGACTCGGCGATACATTATTGGAGAGAGACAGCGATATTGCACTCTCTCTCCCACTTACCAGTAGAGTATGCGGCTTTTGTCTAAGCGCCGGGTTGTCCATTACTGCAATTGATAAAGTCTATTAATATAAGAGACGCTTCATTTTGTTGTAATAGTGAAAGTAGGAACCGAAATAAAAATAAAATTTATTTGTTAAATACATACAATATACAAATTTACAATATAAAAACCTGAAACTAGTAATTTCACATACGTAAATGTCAAAAGGTAATGTGCGTGCGTAATTAAAACTTCCTAATTTCTCGGGATCATTAATTTGCGCCAGAAAATTTAGCATAGTATTGATAACTATGGTATTAAAACCTTTTTTAGTATGCGAAATTTAAACAATACTAGATAGTAAATTACTCATGGAGCTTAATAACTCCTTTGATTTTATCTATAAAGAGCTTGCGATCGCATCACGTATTCTCATCACTAAGCAAGTGGGATAGACAGCGCGATATCGCACTCCCGCTCCGATTATTTATGGCCGAGTCTACAGCGAGTAAATAATTTTACTGTAGATAACTACATACAATATTTAACATGGACTGTTATTCATTTGCAAAATGTTTTTCTTTCCAGCATTATCTGTCCAACGGAAATCGATCTCAAAAACACTGTATCGATATGGAACATAATGGCCAAAGTCCGAGTGGAATCAATGATGTGGGGCATAGGGACGGCGCTTGGGGAACTCCCGCCTTACTTCATGGCCCGTGCGGCCAGATTGAGTGGAGGCAGTGTCTCAGAGCTACAAGCGAGTGATGATTCGCGTACTGGCAGGTAAACTTTAATATTACATAATAATACTGCACATAAGCCACGGGGAGATCTACCTGTACCGTATGTGTCGTGTACACGCGCATAACACACGGACACAATGAACGGAGAGAGATAAAGCTTTTCATTGCTCTATATAAACATCTTGTCGACACATCGTAAATTTGCTGTACTTCGTTTCAATCCATTTTAAACAAAAGGTAAACAAACATGTCACTGACCTGACTATAGACGACTTAGTGATGAATTGTAATGCTGACTACAAATCGATTAATTAATTGAATGAATCGATTTGTTTAATTGAGTCATAAATAAATTTTCGAAATCTTAATTTTAAACCCTCCTTCAAATCCTTAAACTAAGATACTCGTTCGATTGCGATTGAAATTTTCTGTTTACTAATCGATTACAAAAACTTTAATTGAATGAACCGAATTTTTTTTCCGTACATCACTATGCAACCACAGACTATTCATACCTTTATAATTAATAATAATAATTCTGACACAGGCTTGATAAGCTTAATAGGAGGCTTGATAACCATCCACTGTTAATGTAAAGTTAATTGTGTTACTGAAATAAACATTTATTTTTTATTATTATTAATACTCTCCCTTTTACCACCAGTTTTCGAAAAAATACGATTTTGCGATGTTAATGAAATGAATTATGTTGAAAAAAGTCATGAAATATCAAGTCGAAGTCTTCGAAATAGACGTGAAAGTGCTACTTATTCGATTTATTGAGTGATTGCTTTAGAATTGTAACCAAACCGGTTTGTTTACTTTTCGTCTAAAATGGGTTAGAGCAGACTTTAATAAATGTTTACCTTTCTGGTATTCTTGTAATCGATTATACTGTTTCCTATGCTGCCCTCCTTGTCATAACTAAGGCATTTGCATTTTGGTGACTTTCGAGTTACTGACACCTATATTTTTTATTTTATTTGAAAAATGTCAATTACACTGATTTCGCTCAAATTAAACTGAAACTAAGTAAGATATTAAAAAAACCTTACAAAAAAAACTTATAGGGAGTTGTAGATCTCGTTTCGCTGATTCCAGATACGTGTTAATAACTGAATTTCGCTAAAAATATCGGTTACGTAAGTTCTGCCGTCCGCTAACTTGCGTGCAATATTATTTAATATTAGAGTATTGTATCGTGAAATATTATTTAATAATTAGACGATACATATACTTGAATATTTAAATAATAAAAAGTGCCACGGAAATATTGTAGTGAACACTAGTCCGAGAATGACCGATATCATAAAAAAAACTACTTATTCAACGTTAGTGACCTCTTTCAAATGGCTGTGGCTTCTTAAATCATAACCTGTTCGGGTCTTACTCGGTCGACGTCTTTCGCATGAGAGATGCCATTTTGTTTTTATTTAGTAATATATTTTTTAAACTAATGTATTTCTACTTATTTATATCTGCTGTAAATTTTCTATTACAGAGCAAAAATAATGGTACAAAAACTAGTCCAAAAAGTGGGTTTCGCGGGCATCTTAGCCTGTGCCTCCGTACCTAACCCGTTATTTGACCTAGCTGGTCTTACGTGTGGACATTTCCTCGTTCCGTTCTGGACATTTTTCGGCGCTACAGTCCTGGGCAAGGCGGTCATTAAGATGCATATACAGAAGATGTTTGTCATTATTGCGTTCAACGAGACACTTGTTGCGTGAGTACTTTTAAATTTACTTCAAAAATTCAGAAGCCTATTTAGAATACAATAAACATTACAGTACCATTACGGTCCTAAGCTATAATTAGCAAGATAATTGTGATAATTATTATAGATAACAAAAGTAGTGTATTTATTTATTTATACTTGAAAATAGTACCTAAATGTAAATTAATTATGTACTTTATTACCATTTAAAGTAATATTGTAGAAAAAAAAATTTATGTGGGTTACACCTCTTTTGCGTTGGTTGCCTCAAATACGACGTCTATTGTGATAATAGTTATCACAATTGTATTTATTATAATTTTATAAAATTACCATGAAATTTTCTTTGCTCTCGCTCTAAGTACGTCAATCATACATATGTGTTTTTTTGAGTTATTTTTAATTTACTCCTACCCTGTCATGACGCCATTTCTATCATAAAACATTAATTCTATGTTCGATGACGAGGAAACTTTTTTGATGTACAATATACAAACACTTATACGCAATTTCACCTGATGATATTACGTGATGATGTGTATTAGTCTAGTTTTATTTTTACTTTTCATAAAAGTTGCCGCAGGTTTAAAACGACGGCAGCAAAGAGTAACTGGTTATCTGCAAAATCACGGTTTTATAGTAGAGTATTTAGAAAGTAAAAATTTGATATTATGATGAGCCAATATAAAAAGCGTATAATATTATAATGAAGTCGTGTCTCAAAATTGTGGAATTGCGAGGAAACGATTTGAAAAAAAAAACGAATGACACCAATATATGCATATATAATATTCTCGTTTATAAATTGATTATCAGGTTTATGTATAAATAAAAAGAACACATTATTCGCAATCAGGGGGTCAACTCTCGATCTCCGTCCGACATCCGTCCGAAACAATTACCGTTAAATAAGTAATATTCGACAAAATTGAAAGACAATTATTAAGTAAGAGAAGCTTCATTCGCATCACGCGTCTTTTCATTTGGTCAAGTATTGCTTATTTGGCAGTAATTGTTTCGGACGAATGTCGGACAGAGATCGAAAGTAGACCCCCAGATTCGTTCAGTGTTTTCTCTATTCAACAAGTTTGTGTTACGACAGTATTTGGTTTCATGTGCTATAATATTATTCTCTCAAGTTTTTGCTTTCAAAACGCTCTTCTGTAAAATTGTGATTTTGCAGATAACCGGTTACCCTTTGCTGACGTTGCATTATCAAAACATTTTTATGTGCAAATGTTTTCACAGTTTTAGAACTTCTCGTTTAAATAAAAATTATATCTGTATAAGTATCCTGAATTGTAAAGAATAATTAAATCTCAATTAGTTTGTTATAATTATTCTGTATTCTAGGAATAATCTAGCTCACGAATTTTTCTATGTGCTTATTGTCGGTTCTTCGTATTTGGTTTTGAACGACTTTTTAGTCGTAGAGCCATCTATTAAAAATTCGGTCCGCTGGTTAGTTCCGTGGCCTAGTTGGCATTGCGTCTGGCACGGTTTGCTAGGAGAGGTCGGTTCGAATCCGGCCCGGTAGTAGCATTTTTTTTATGTCGAGTAATTTTATAAAAAATAATTGAATATCAATTCAATAAAAATTTTAATCTCAATTTTTAATTAACAACTTTATCTCTTACAGACAAGTCCTGACCTGGGTAGAGCGAATACCCTACATTGGTCCCAAATTAGAAGCACCACTTCTAGAATTCCTACGCAACCAAAAAGCCAAATTACATAAAAACGATTCCCCGGGCGCAGCAGAGAAACAAGGCTCATTATTGTCGAGTCTATTAGAGAAATTTGTACTTGCCATGGTGGTGTACTTTGTTGTATCCATAGTGAATGCTTTGGCACAGAATTATAGTAAACGTATTGGAAAGAAGAAGGGAAAGAAACGGGAATAGGGTTTAAGGACGCCGGGCGATGTGATTGGTGGACTCGGTGAGTTTGTTTTGTTTTTCTACTTAGTTTTATATAGTATTCATTTCAGA